TTATTATATATTTCAAGAAAATTGCATACAAAAGAAAAAATAATAATAAACTAATTATTTGATATTAAACTAAATAAATCTGACATAAAAAAATAAAAAAGCTAAAAATATAAAAATAAATATTTAAATTTAACTTGAAGCTTTAATAAAAAATACTAAAAAACAATTTTATATATAATTTTATTTTTTATTTTAACTCAAATAATAAAATCAATCTTTAATAATTGTTGATATATATAATTTGTACATTCTTATTGATTTGTTATCATATGATTACAAATTATAATTATATGTATAAAGTTTGTTATATTTGATTAATTATTAGTTATTACTTATTACTTTGGTACTGAAAGCTGGCTGTTGCAAATTTTCTAATTCATGCTTAGTTTTATTATCATGCTATAAACACTCATATAAGAAAATAAATAATGTACAAAATAATTATTTTAAGATAACATGATAGAATGCTTTTATAATCACATAATTTCTTGATTAATCAGATAAATTATCTGATTAATTTCTTAATGAGATTAAATTATCTATTAAATCAAATTATACGTAATTTATATTGAACAGATCCATAAAAATTTTCCGAACATACATAAATATCACATGACCCGATATTATCACGTGATTACTGGTGATGATCGCTGCTGGTAATACGTTAATGCAATTTAAATGAAATAATATTCTTTTGTTCAGTATTCTTAAATATATATAAAAGGCTCGGATCAATCAAACATATTGTTATCAAGTGAATCAGAATTAGGTACGTAATGCATTATATAATCAGGTGAACGCGAATTTTTTCAGTTATTATTTTGTCCGAAGTTTTGAGTCATCGATCGATTGCTGATTAAGTTCCCATTTTTTTTATTTAGAATTATTAAATTCTCTAAATTAGAAGGTATTGATAAGTGGTTTAGGATCGCTAGTTATAAAGTTGCTGAAATCTATTAGTTTAAATATATCTAGCTTTTTGTAAGATGATCAATAAAAAAATGACAAAGAAGCGACTATGGTCTCTTATATTAAATCGACAATATGCTGTTAAAAATTCTAACTAAGAAGTAAAGCTAAAATTTGACCGGTAATATTCTCAAGAAAATCTCTTTTCTATAATATTACCGGTTAACTTTTGGATTTACTTATTAGTTAAAAAGTTGATAGAATTTTTACATGAAATATATTGTCGATTTAAGAGTTCCTGGACCATACTTACAAGAATCATTTAGCGAGAGCTATTCCTAAGCTTAGTTATTTTACATGTTTATAGTTATTTATTTTTCTCTTGCCACTACCATCGTGACGTCGCTTATTTATTAACTTGATTGGTAGGTTTTTGTTGATCATGTGACTATTTGGACCGACTTTGAGTGAGCATTTTAACATCCCTAATTATGATGTATTGATTGTTATTATTATTTAATGTTCAAATCAATACGTATGATTAGTTTAAGCAAAGTAGTATGGGATGGATCGAAAAGTATAAGTACACTATATTTCGGAAAAAGAAAAAAAAGCATATTTTATTGCCCGTACTTGCTTGACCAGCAATACTTATTAGCGTAGAGACCCGTCAAAGCAATACACCTTATAATGATGACAATTCAAAAACAAAAGTTTTTTTTTACTAATTATCCCTAACCTTTCCCACGCAGTGAATTTTGGCTTATTCTTTGTAATCAATTCATAGCAAATTAAATTACATACTGTATACGTATGAAAGATTACCATTATTATGATGTATGTATGTATTGTTTAAAAAAAATTATGCAACAATTGCAACAGTAGTTATCGTTATTATTATTTTAGTTTCAAGCCAATACTTATGGCAAAATAGTATGGGATGGGTCGAAAAGTATAACAAGTTCACCATACTTCGAAAAAACCATAACATACTGACATTTTATTGCCCGTATTAGTGTAGGACCCCAGTCATAGCGATACTTCTTATAACGATGACTAATTAAATTTCGATAATGATGACTAAGTAAATTTCGATATAACACGAGTTTTTTTTTACCAACCTTTCCCACGCAGTGTATTTGGACTTATTCTTGTGCTGTTATAATAAAAAAATTTACACATATACACATAATTATTTATTTGGTCGAAAACTATATAAACCCATCACCACAACAAAAACACATTTCTTTTCACATATAACCTACGACATAGGACTTGATAGCTTGACGATTAGAATGGACGAAACGGACGGTAAAAACTTGTGCTTATTGTACTTAACTTGCATGACATGTTTGACGACTAGAACGGACGAAACGGATGAAACGGATGGTAAAAACTTGTGCTTGTTGTACTTAACTTGCTTGACATGTTTGACGATTAGAACGGACGAAACGGATAAAACGGACGGAGCGGACAGTAAAGATTTGTGCTTCTTGTACTTAACTTGCTTGAGAATGGAACCACGCTACGAGAAGGCGTTGGGGATACCCTATGAAGAGTCTTTGAAGAGAGCTGAGAACGACGGAGCGAATACACGGAAATTCAAGGAGAAAAGTGTATTTTTTTATTTTGTTGATTGTGATTTTTTTTATTATTGGCTCCAGAAATACCTAATGGATTTCTCGGGTCTTGGCATTGCTCGCAAAAGCCAACTGATGAGTCCTGTAAGCTAGGACGAAACCCAAGAATGCTAGCAAAAAATTATCATCATATATTATCGCATTAGGGCATTCAATCATTAAAGTACCGTTTCTTAAAAGCTATTTTAATGCGGCTTCCTCCCGCATTCCTTACGCACTGAGGCATCTTCGTCACTCGTAACTATCAGAAGCGTCTATTTTTTCACATGTTTTTTAGTAATCGATAATTGTCGTATTTATTTGTTCGACATACGGTCAAATCTCGATATAATGAACCTGGCCTTTTCATCGCCACAATTTCCACTCACGTCACCCTCTTCGTATTCATCTCTCACAAACATGTATAGATTTGTCCAAACGCGCCACTAATCAAAAATACCCGAGTTTGGAGATTCTTCAGACAAAAGATCCTGGAAGGAGATTCTCACAATGATTAATCCCTAATTCTCACACATTTTTTCTTTAATTATAAATAATCTGTTAGCCAATACGGCTGGACTTGGACACCTTTATTGAAATACATAATTCACTAATAAACGTATGGATCTTAAATAACATATTTGGGGACATTAGATTGCTTGAATCGGCTCTTCAGCGGCCGAAATCCATGCACTTTTATGAAAAGGCGTCATTTTTAGACTGACCGCTGATCTTGAAGAGAGAGCATCATTCATTTTTTGACGGGATTAAGAGAGCTGGGGCTTGGATTTCCTACAACATTATTTCACCAACTTCCTTGCAATAATCTTGATGCAATTCAAATTGATGCAACTTATGGAACAAATAATATGTGATGGGAGTTATAGTGTAATTGATGGCACTGGGTTTCCAATAAGTTACCTTATAATAGCAGAAGGCAGAAGTCAAAAGATCAACAATTGATGAATTCTCTTTTTACTTTGATGGATAAAGATTTTTGTGAAATAAATGCAATTTAAACAGTATGGCCTGAAACTCAATTGCAATTATGTACTTTACATTTCCAAGACGCGCCCCTCTTCTCACCCAACAAACTAAAGAGAACCGACTTCAATGGGCGAGCAATCACCCTGGACGTAAGGTTGTGTTTTCTAACGAGACAACCTTGTAATTATCTCAGAATACCTGTTTGGCGTGGTCGCATCCCGGAACAACTGTTGCACCAATGGTGAAGCATCCTTTTAAGCTTCACATGTGTGAGCGATTTGTGCACGTGACAAAGTCGGATGTGCACATTTACACAAAAATATGGATCGGTGTTTGTTCCGCGCGAAATCTTCAATAATCATTTATGAGAATGTTGGCAATGGATTTTTCAGCAGGATAACGACCCGAAACACACCTCAAAGGATCTCCAGAGTGAGCTCAAAGCACGTCTTCCGAAACGCCTTCTTCCTTGGCCGTCGTATAGTCACGATCTTTAATCCGATTGAAAATTTTTGGGCTCTCCTTAAACGAAATGTAAAAAAATAGTGGCACAACAAAAGTGTCTCACGAGAGGTTTTTGTTGTGTTGGTTGAGGAGGAGTGGGAGAGCCTTCCTGAGGATGTAATTCTTAACTGTATCGGTAGTATGCCGAATCGTGTTCAAGCTTGTATTGATGCAGAAGGTGGACATACCCGATACTAATGTTATATAGGCGTATGTTGCACAACTTTGTTCAACTTAAAGGCATCCCAAAATAATTTTTTGTAATTGCATTTATTAATGAAATGTATCGAATTTTCAAATAAATTTGACCGCCATTATTTTCCGTCGGACTGGCTTATCAAACCTTCAGTTTATTGTGTTCCACTTGTACTTGTATAAGTTCGACTGTAACCCTCATGTAGATATAGTTATTATCTAAAGTAAAACAAGAAAGATGCATCAAAAATCGTTAAGATTTAATAGATTTATTATGTTATTATAAGGCCACAAAGCCGATTATTTTTAATCCGGAGCGATTTGATTTGCCTAAACTAGGGGTTTGCTAAAGCGGAGCAGTTCTCACATAATGCAGATCACATACATCCACAATCACCAGCATAACAGACATCGTTTGTTCGTACATAGAACCCAAGCCATGGCAAAAAAAAGTGTCGGGTCATGTGATTCCGACCCGACGCCAACCATCTGACATCCCCTTATAATACATATATATAATATTAGAGTTTCGGTCAGGGTTAGGGTTAAGTATAATACTAAGGTTATTACTGTATAGCATATAGCAGACGTGGCATACATAACATATAGTAAATTTTCGCAAGGAACATTTTTTGTTAGAACACAAATGATTGTTTATATGTAAAATTTCAATAAGCGTTCGTTTTCAATTTTTTGTATTACACATTGATCTTGCGATTTGATTGGTGCATGATTTTAAGCGACTAATTCGGTAATTTTGACTCAGAACCGCTCGGTCCAATAAAATTTGTAAATTTGTGACGCAGTCGTGAAATTTATTATTCGGTATTTATCGTTATCGTTATTATTTGGAATTTTTTTCACCATTTCTGCTATTTCTTGCTTTGTGTTGTTCCGTGGTCAAAATACGCAGCAACTCCGGCTCTTTTTGCCTAATTCTTCGGCTGAACAACAGCTTTTTGTGTTAGTATCGTCGTCGTTAGATTTTTCGTCGCATTTAGCGTCATCGTCGGCGGCGGTTTTGGCTGGATTAATTTCGGTCAGGTAAGTTTAGTTTCGCTAGTTGTGTCTTCATTTGTTGTTAGCGGTAGCTTTGCCACGGATTGTTGTGTTCTGCCAGTCGTTGGCGCGTGCCATCTAGATTCCCGGGACAACGTTACCGTTATCATTATTATTACTTAGTCGTCGTGAATTCTTCACATTCGGCCTCGGATTCTTCAAGTTGTCAGTGACGTTTTGGTTAGAAGCGTTTGTGAGTGGTAGTTTGCTGTCTTTTATTAATATAGGATTTTCTCCCAACTTTTTGCCCTTTTTGCTTTGTTTTTCCATTTTGTGGCGAATTCCGAGTTTTTTTGATAGGCGGTTACGGTTTGGTAGGGGCAGTTGGGTTTCCTGGTTATCACCGGTGAGTTTTCTTCTCATTTTAGCGCTGTTCCGCAAAATGGGCAATTTCCTATCGGAAATGCCACAACTTATGATCTAAACACTCGATGCAATATAATAGTTTTGATGTTCCTTTTTGCTGTTGTGGGGGAGGGTTCTGTCTGGGAAAGAAGCAAAGATTCTGAAGGGAAGGACCTATCTGACGGTCGCTGCTTAAAAGTCACTAAGCTCTTTCAGGCTTCGACTGCAGTTTACCTTGATAAGTGATAGCTTGTGATCTTAATAATAAATTTCTTTGTAAGTTTCAATTGAAAATCACATGTTTAAAAATCACGTGTTTTTAGTAGAGCGTCATAAGTGTCGCATAAGGTTTTGTTGTAATTACGTATATATTTTGCTTTTCTCTGCAAATCTTCTACAAATACTTATTAGTTGAAGGATACGATCGATTCTAAAGGGAATCGAGTTCAAATAAAATTAGGCACATAGAAAAAGCATTGTTGCAGATATTTTATTCCATGAATGCTAGAATTGATTGCAGTTATTAACACAAAAAATAGTTGACCCAACACTTGTTACAAATCAAATGTTCCTCAAATCTCGATAAAGATGGGTTGTTGGATACCTTCGGATGATACAAGAAGTTAATGCGAAGATAATCAATTGATTTATGGAAAAGTCAATTGTAAGGGGATAATTTTATTAGTAAATCTATTATATATATATCGAACGGGATCCCCAACATCCCGACACCCAAAATTCCGACAGTTCATAATCCCGACAGTCAAGATCCCGAATGGTTCAAGATCCCAACAGTTCAAGATCCTGAATGGTTCAAGATCCAGACAGTTTTTTGATGGTATAACTTCACAAATCTCGTTCCTTTTAGCAATAAGAGGTTTGAGGTCAAAAGATTTATATGTCAAATAATCAAGAGATACGCGTCAAATAATCGAGAATGCAGGCAATGCAAATAAAATAAATTATTTTTTATTTTGATCAACTTAGTGCAACTGGTTTTTTTATATTAATGTGGTCAGGTTGGAAGTCTGACATAATATAATATACTAATCATAAGGTGAGAATATTACATAATTATCTATTGTAAACCATTCGGAATCTTGAACTATCAGGATCTTGAAACATTCGGGATTTTATACCATTCAGGATCTTGAATGTCGGGAACTTGAACCATTCGGAATCTTGAACTGTCGGAAACTTGAACCATTCGGGATCTTTAACTATCGGAAACTTGAACCATTCGGGATCTTGAACTGTCGAGATCTTGAACTATTCAGGATTTTGTACCTTTCGGGATCTTGAATGTCGGAATCTTGAACTGTCGGAAACTTGAACTGTCGGGATCTTGAATTTCGGGATGTCGCGATAGGCCCATATCGAACAATATTAATCCTATATCAAAGTGATTTGAATTAGTCTCCACTATAAAGTGTTATCAATGCTGTTCACCACCCATTTCCCTTTATTCTCTATTAAATTAATTGCTCGAAGGCTGTTTCAAGTGCCCGAAGGCCATTTATGCCCGCAGGCTTCAGAAGAGTGTCACTCGCATCCCTGGTCAGTCTCCCGATCAGGATCCGTTTAGTCTCCCCGGTCAGTTCTCTGATCAAACTCCCCCGATCAAACTCTCCCGATCAGAATCATCCCCTGGTCAGTTCCTCGCAGGCAGCGTGTAGGTCGCTTGACTATGTCCAGTCCAGTAACCAGGCCCATATTGAACTTGTAAAGTTAATTACTAAGTCCAGTGATCCAAATAGCACCATTGAACTTGGTCCAGTATGGTCTCGTCAACAACACTGCTTGCAGGGCATCTTCACAGGATATGTCTTCGCGGGTCGTGTTTTCACGGATCGTGTCTTCACAGGATATTTTCGCAGGTGTCTTCACAGGATACCTTCACAGGATATCTTCGCAAAATATCTTCGCAAAGTATCTTCGCAGGATGTTTTCAACGAAGTGCACCATTTCTGAGTGAAGAGAAATTTTTAGTACCAACGCACTCATTAAATATGTTTTCCCCCCCAAAATACTTGAAAAACTATTGGTTGGGGTCGTGACAAATATTTCCTTATTAAATTGTTTTGGCACACGTCATATCCTTATTAAATTGTTTTGGCACGCGTCATATCCTTATTAAATTGTTTTGGCACACGTCATATCCTTATTAAATTGTTTTGGCACACGTCATATCCTTATTAAATTGTTTTGGTACACGTCACATTCTTATTAAATTGTTTTGGCACACGTCACATTCTTATTAAATTGTTTTGGCACACGTCACACTATTGCAAATGTTTTTAGCGTTCCCAAAGGTAAATTTGATTACGTAACATTGCATGATACACAAATTTTACCTTAATACATGTATTATACATGTTGATGATCAGGTGTATATTGCACATGATTAAAATTTTAGCCAAAGGCCGGTACATTTGTTAAACCGGATTTTACGTGCGTGTATAAATAAAAAAATTCGCCAATAAAAAGAAGAAGGTGTAGCTATTCTGGTATGTAACGAATCTACAAAGTTGATCATGACTATTATTATGGTCGCTATTATTAATATTTGCAATAACAATATTCTTTTATCTATATACTTTTTTCAACTCCGAACATTCATATTGAGGCTTCTAATTTATCCCGAAGTCAGCTAATTGAATTATATTTTTTATCCTAATACGTGTTCGATAACACATCAGACCATATTATTCTATCGATGCAATATCAGCAACTAGTAGTATGGTGCTCAGCGGAGCCAGCACAGCGTTGTCTTCAGTCGTGGATAGACAAGACAAACTGAGAAGTTATTTTTATTTGATCAAAATCCAAATTCTGTAAAATTCGAAGAATAAAATAATTATGATCATTTACACCTAAGACCGGTCGGTGTATTATTATTATTTATATTTATATTTGCTATAGTGTATGTAGTACATGTATAAACGTTCGAAAACTTGTTATATTATTCCTTGACTGTGATCACATCCCCCATTATCACATCATTAATTGATTCCAAATTATGAAAACACCCTTTGTACAGTCGCAATCGTTTTTATGAGTAAATGTTCTACTGACCTATGATTTGTTAGGCAAGTAACAGATTGATATCCATTCTTAATGAATCTCGAATGATTACCAAGGCCTTTTACACGTGGACGCCAATCATATGTCATTGTGTCTTTAAATTTGCATATCGACTAGTTTTATAAAAATAAAGGAGTTATATAACAAGGCGAGTATAGCATGACACTCTAACTCTATAAGGAAAATCTAATCCGTAATTTTTGCTTTACTCCCTAATTAAAAAGTACAAATAAATCTAAATCATTTGCTAAACTCAAATAATGATGCAGATTCGACCATACATCAATCAATAACACATTCTCGTACCAACATCTTCTGAGAGGAAGAAAGTAAGTACCCTAATCTGTCGAATCTTTTTGTAGAACCTAGCCAAATTGTAGAACCCAAGAATGATATTTTTTAATTGTTACTCTGTTTCTTAAGATAATAATCGAATTCACACAATTTAACCAGGGCTAGCATTTGACTTAACCAAGATGCTAAATTCTATCAGACTGGAATTGTACAATTTATAAACCCGATGGTCCAATGGCGCAATAATGGATTAAATCCAGTTGACAACTTTACTATGAGTGTTTTCTAATTATATAACTTTCAAGTTAATGTTCTCTTTATCTTTCTGCAAAAGATACAACAACTTCATATCTCTTCCCAATCCCAATTACTATTGACATTAATATCTTTTCTAGAATAATCATCACTATCATGTTCTCTTTTTTGCTCCCACAACAGCTACAACTTTCTTGTATTCAGTATTTGTTTCTCTTCTTTCTTATAAATATCATTCTTCTTGTCATCTTTTTTTACTTCATCATCTCCATTTACACAGTGAAACTCGATATAATTCGTTCTGAACTTCAATCTGCTATATCAAGTTTTCATTGGTCTTTGTTGTATCGAATATTCACTATATCGAGTTTCACTGTGTATTTCTCTTGTTCATTATCATCATTATTCCTCTTTATTCTTGAAGCTTTTATAATTATCATCTCTCTCCGACTTTCAACTCCTGATACATTTTATAACTTTTGTACTGTGTCACAATTCGAATCATGTGATAGTAAATAATAATTTTAATTATGCATACCAATACATGTATAATGATAATATGGCATTATACTGAGAGTCATTAATCTTCTCTAAAAAAAATAAGACTGATCCCACAGTGTTGCTGTTCAGAACAGTATCCTTGGTGATTGGCTTTTGAGTATGTATTCAAAATATCAGCTTCAATTCGATCTATATCTTCCTTGTCTTTAGGTTCTTCCCAATACAATCAATTGTATACTTATTCTTTGTCCAATCAAGAAGGATTACCCAAATTTCCTTAGCTTGTTCTGCTGCTTTAAGAGAATCCGCTTTTCTATAAAAACTGTTCCATGATGACTGCAATCCCTCTAACAATGGAAATCAAGATATGATACAATATATTTTCGTGCTGGATTAGTGTATCATTTTGATATGTTATTAAGCAGCCACAAAGTTAAAAGATGCTTCAATATTCATATGTATGTCATAAATCTAATGATACCTGACGAAACTATTTTCATAATGACGAAGGGTTTCGAACGAAACCCATGATACTTGTGATGAGATCTTCTAAACAATCAAAATAATAGCTTAAATCACATGATAAATTATGAAATCTATGACGAAACCTTCTGACCAATCAAAATAATAGCGATAGCTAAAATCGCATGAACAAATCCTATCGCTATTCCGAATTTTAAAAGAATGTTACGTCATTAGAAATTTAGTTGTGTTTGATTGGCTGAAGACCATAGACGATCAAAGTTATGCTGAATTTTGGCCAGCATTATGAAAACTTGAGAAAAGTGTATAATTTTAAATATATACCTCTGGTAAAAAAATAACCCGATAAATTGGTAAAACTTGACTTAAACTATTATTTTATGGTTTAGTTTGCCAAAATCGTCAGACGATTCATCATTCGCCACTTACATGGCGAAAGGTTTCGTGAAAATCAATACATGAACTAGTACATTACGTTGCGTTCGTTCATTTCCAAAAATGGTCATCATCTTCAGGCATCAACTACGTAGTATTTTATTGGTCAGAAGGTTTCGTCATTCGACACAGACGTTTTCAAAATGGTCGTGACGAAAGGTTTCGTTATCGTCAAGTATTATTACATAAATCATGTAATTAGCCATGCTGAGATGAGCGGGACTTGGATTCTCTAAATCCTGAATTTTTGTTGGGGCTATACCTGTACATGTACAATAAAAACATAAGTTGTGTGACTTGTGCATCAATGAGTGCGGAGATGATGCGCAAAATAATACATGTCTCAGACATTTTGCGGTATTGCCAAATTGCTTGCAAAATCGATGATAAGTCCATGACAGGATCTCACGCCAACTTTTGGGAGGATGCTAAAGAACTTGGCATGTAGTTTTTTGTAAAAAGTAACGCAACATCAACATAAATTTAAACGTAGTGTTTTCCCCTTTTGTTATTGTTGACTGCAAATTTTTTTATTTCTTTCTTCGACTTTTAAACATACACTGGACGAAATTTGTTGGCTGAACATACAACACACACCGCCTCCAGTTAACCGACTTTGACGAGGGTAAAATGGTAATTTTTATTGGAGTTTTGAGTGCCGTGCAAGTTGCAAGAAAAATGAGCCGTGACCCGATGACGGGATAATGGTCTCTTGCCGAATACAAGAGAAATAGAAAAACGAAAATTTACCAGGGTCTCAAGCTCTTAACAAGCAAGAGAAAAAATGCGCATTTACAAGAAAGACAACCTAAGCCATTTCGTGGCATTGTCAACATAAAATCTTTGTAAAAATTTACCCGAAGATTCTTCAGGTAATTCATCCTTTTTCATAATATATTAGGCTCATTAATTGGAAAAATATGGCGTTCCAGTTTAACCCTAACCCTAATTCTAAAAAGATCACGAAATAGGTTCAAGAGAAGGATATTAATAATTATGAACCAATTAACGTATTCTCTCAGACCTTGCTTCATAGAAAACATCTAGAAACATTGTAGAGCAGTATTCTAAAGTGTAAAAGCTTTTCAAAAACCGTGAACAAGCTCAAGACTGCTCTGAAGGAAGTGTTTGGTGAGCTCGATGCCGTAAGGAATCGAGGTGATATTGAAGCTATATAAAGGGTGGGTAATTTATTAGTTAATGGTAAAAATTTTTAGTATATAAAGTAGAAATGAAATAAATCGTATATATATCGAAAATTTCATTTTTAAAAAAAATCGGGCGTTACTTTCCGTGGCGACTGTACATGGTTATGATAGGTTCATTTATTCCAATCCAGCTCCAATTATATTCTCTGTAGAAAAGGGTGCTTCTGAGACAGAAAGAAAATATCAAATGAATTTTATTTAGTGAAACCTCAAGTCATTGCTTTTACCATATATCATAAATTTTTTCATTGAAGAATAGTTAAAATGAAACAATGCTATCAAAAAGTTAAGCTAGATCGCGTTCACTTGTGTTGACAAACTCAAATGTGCGAAAATATCTTTGTTCGAGAGGTAAAACGCTTACCAGTGATGGCAGGCAGTTCTGCGATGATATGGATGCTATCATCCGGAGGTTTATCTGGAAAAACTTCTTAGTTGCGAACAACTTCTCACTTCCGAATTCTTGTCAATTTCGGTATGAGACTTCTTTTCAAGTATTTACCACTTCTCGTTTCCTTCGCTGAGACCTTCAACCTTCTATAGCGTCAGAGCATCGGGATCAACTTTTTCGAATGAATTCTGCAATACAAGGTTCTTGAGATAGATTGTCAGTGATGTTTTTTTCGGCAATGTTAATCGGGAAAGGACTCGCAACAGGATTACCTAGAACGATACAAAATAACGGCATGTCGGCAATATATCTGCAAACGCGAAAATTGAAAGTTAAAAACAAGGTTTAAAACATTAAAGTTTCAGTAAAATATAAAATAACCTTTGACTGAGTAAACATTTTAGTTGTGTTGAATAATCTAATAATACAAAAAAAATAGAAGACGACATAAAAAAGAAAGATAGTCTCTTCTAGGAAGCCAATATAAGTTGTTCCAAGACGTTTACTCGGTTTAATGTACAGTCACACTTTTCGTAGTGGTCCTCCTTTATAGTAGAGACTAGTTAAAATCTCGATATAGTGGATTAATATTTATCACGGTTTGCAAAAAGGTGTAGTCATGCGAATTGCTATTAGTGTGGGAAATCTGATAAATCCCTGAGATTATGATAATATGCTACGTTCATGTAACGTTCAATTCTCATGAACTCAACCTCCTTAACGCAGCGCTCACACTGTAATGGGCAAACATAACTTTGTTTCCGAAAAAGAATTTCGCGAAAGGTAATCCCGTAATGAATCAATCGGCATTTATCAAAACATAGACTTGGACTCATTTCATCAATCTGATCGTGTTGGTGGGCCGATTTCAAACGAAACTAGGCCAACTACTCAAACTGGGCAAACTACTTGAACCCTTTTCGTCAAGACACTTACTGGTAAAGCTATCACTTTAATACTTGGAAAAAATTTCACAATTGGTGATGTAAAACAGTTGATTCAAGACAAGGAAGGTATGCCGCAAGACTAACAACGTTTAATTTTTTGCCGGTATGCAATTGGAAAACGGAAGAACACATTAAGACTACAAAGTTTCAAACGAAGCTACATTACATATTATTTTGCGTCTTCGTGGTGGCGAATGTACATTCAATTACTTGGACTCCTCCTTATTGTGCCCAAAATATAATTACGATTTTACAAATATCGAAGATAATGAAAGCCAGTATACGCATGGCAGGGCTCCGTATCAACGTTCATGCGGATGGAAACGCATTGCCTTAAATGTTACCGGGAAGTACGATAATGGGGATGATACATGGCTTGGCACTGATAAATATTCTTGGTCAGTGTCATGCCAGAGTACTGCGAAGCATAAAGAGAGATCAATTTCTGCGGATGGCTATTTATTGAGTAAAGGAAAGCGGTTGCTTTGGACGTGGTATTCGACGTCTTTTGTGAACGTAGCTAAACTGTATGCGCCAGAATTTAAGTTGAAGGGAGAAATATGTTATGATATTTCAGAATCGAGTGAACCCGGTAAATTTGTATGTAATCAAATATATAATTGCCAGGATTTATGCCTTATAAATATTGATATTCTGATTGTACTCGCTTTACTCGAGTGCACTTGATTCTTCCATCGATTTAAGGAGTCAAAGTGATGAATCTGTGACAAGTTTATAAGTTAACAGACTCACTACGAGCAGATAATATAATATAGAACATGCTATTATTACATGCTCTTAATTCTTTATTTAATATTCGAAAAAATATATTAAACTATTCCAATATTTTTACCTTAATAAGAATGCTAAGAACAGTCATGGTTTGATTTAACGATAGGTAATAGATAATTGAATAAGTCAATGGCATTTAAGAGATTTGTAAAAATGAGCCTGCTTTTATATGTACTCTTATAAAAAAGGTGTTTAAAAGTAATCAAGTTATTAACGATATGGTTGTTTTTCTTGCAAATCACTCGATATCTTTAATTTCATTTAGCTTCATTGTCTTTGACTTCACTCAAATCGAAATCTGTTTCTAACAATAATATTGAGTATTGTATATATGAATTTTAAATTTACTGTATCTTTTGAACATACAACTGAGGATAATAAATTTATCTGCATCCATTAAGAATTGTATTGCATCCCAAAATCATGAGGAAGGAAAAATTGACCCAAAAGGGTCATCCTGTAGACGGCATCATATTATAAGTCCATCACGTACAGGGAACAATGTGCTAGATATTATAAAAAAATGGTAATGTTGATAATATTCTCCAAGAAAGCCATTACAAGGAGACCACTACGAAGTTTATAATGACTCTTTACAAACTTAACACCATCAATCACCGCTGTCCACAGTTCTCTGTCAAAATTTCCCGAAGATCATTCTCTCCATCGTCCTCGAACAAAAAAGATATGATTTAAAGCACCACGGGGAAAAAAATAAGAATTGACTGATAGATTAAATCAGAGGTTTCCTATCATTGAGTAAAATAATTAAGAATAAGAACCTAATATTAAAATGGCGCACAATACGAACAAGCACTGTCAGAATCTCCTTTGTATTTTCCATATTAGCATTACGCATTTTCACAATAGAGCTGATGATACTCCGACACGCTCACATCATCAATGACCCCTCTGAATGGATACTCGGTCCGCTTACACGGCTACCACACGTTGATAATAATTTGTTTTTCCTTCCATAGCGATATCAATATACAATACGTATTGTGAAAATTTCTGTAAGGTATGACATATCGATATTGTACATGTATTTTGTATTGTACATGTCTTTAATCGATTCCCGATTCAAAAGTAATTAATCATATGTTTTGGCCCAAATGTTTTTACACGATACTGTACGTGATTGTTTCAGTAATTATATGCAGGTGTTGTTACGTTGCAAATTGCTGGTTGCGTTGCTGTTGCGTTGCTTGTTTCGTTACATGTTACGAATTGCGAATTACGTTAAGTTGCGTTGTGTGAAAAAACTGAAACAAAAAAAGCAAAAAAAAGTCATTCATATATGAAAAATTCTAATCAATCACTAAATCTGTAATTAAACGATTCAGACCTAAAAATTATCAGATAATAACGATAAATTTGAGCAGAGTGGGTCGCGCTGGTAAAGTGATCATTGTCAAATTACAAGGTTTGTGAAAACATATACATGTATACAGAATTGCATCCAAGAAGTCTTTCTTGATCCTTGTCAGAGTTTCTTTGCGCTAAATAGAAGTGGTTTTTTTACATTCGGCACAAATTACAGTGACACCAACACTTTTCGTTTTTGTCCGATCTGCAGAGACAAATAGCATACTATCGCTATGTTTTGTTTTTGTTGCTGTTTTAGTTCTTCCTTAAGCATTTTGGTGGTTATTTTTTTACCATACCTAAATAGTGTAATGACACTTGAATTATCGTTATCTCCTCGATTTCTGTATTACCGTTACATACATGTATACCGGTATGTTGGTATGTCGGTTGATCATCAATTTTTTTTATTAACGTTAAAAGATAATGTCTTTTGTCATTTTACGCGAGAAATGTCACTCGCTTCCAAAAAATTTAAAAGATCACTTTCTCAAAACTAAATATCTATATTTTAAAAGATCTTTGTACACACGATCAAATCAATTGATATTAATATCTCGATATTTTGACCGGATATTTATAGCCCGACACAACAAGATTAATCTTGATTTGAAATGTGGGTATCGACAGATACGGAAACAGTCCATAATAGCAAAAAAGGTTATAATTAATTTTTTACGTTATTTTTTCTTTGTGTTAATAATTTCGAATAATTGTTTAAAATTAATGGCAGAGGAACGATGAAATATCGCTTCAAGATTATTCGGTTGAACAAATTCGAAATTTTAGTATAATTGCTCATGTAGGTGATGTGTCGTCGTCAATATGGAGATATTTTTTAGTTGTGAAATGTTTTTTAATTGGTCTTATGCATTTTTTTTCGATATAAACAATAGATCATGGGAAGAGCACGTTAGCTGATAGGTATTTGTTGATTTTTTTTGATTACAGTGCTTTCGTTCATACGATAAAAAGTTGATCTGAATTTTTATTATTATTAAGATTACTAGAGCTTACAGGTGAATAAACAGAAAGAGTTTAGTTTAATTTTAAATATTATTTATTTGTGATTATGATTTTTTCAATACGGAAAACAGGCACAATATCTTCAAATGAACCTCACGCTCAGGTTTTGGATAAGCTTACTGTAGAACGTGAACGTGGAATTACGGTCAAAGCGCAGGTATTCATTCATGGAATCTCTTCGATCCTATTATTTGCTTTATTAACATATTCATCTCATTGATATAAATTAGACATGCTCAATGTTTTATCGATATAAAGATGAAGACTATCTATTGAATTTGATCGATACACCAGTACTACAAATCATTTTACGTGAATATTTAATGTTTATTTTATGTTTTAGATTTAATCCTGATTCTGAAATATAGGGACATGTCGACTTTAGCTATGAAGTTTCTCGATCACTGTCAGCGTGTCAAGGAACACTTTTGTTAATTGATGCTTCGCAAGGAATACAAGCTCAAACAGTCGCTAATTTCTTTTTGGCGTTCGGCGAAGGGTTGTCGATTATTCCCATTTTGAATAAGGAAAGAGATTCATCAATAACTAAAGGCTGGTTCTATGAAATAGTTTTTAATGTAACAAATTGATAATATTTTAGATTGATTTGCCATCTGCAGACCCCGAACGAGTACAACTGCAAATCGAAAGCACGTTTGAAATAGATACCAAAGAAATTTTAACGGTATGTAATGAATATTCCTTCTTGTTTGAAGTGTGACCTCGAAGTAAAGTTTCTTTTTTGAAGGGTAGATTTCCGCGAAGTCTGGTCTAAATGTCGACATGATATTACCTCGAGTTATTGAAAAGATTCCACCGTAATTTTTTATTTAGTGTGCGACATTCTAAATGTAATTTATTCTTAAATTTCGACAATTTTTTTAATAGACCGATCAGTGACATTTCATCACCTTTAAAAGCACTCTTATTCGATTCATGGTACGACACTTATGTGGGTGTTGTCTGCTTGATGGCCATCAAAGATGGAAAACTTCAAAAAGGTATCTCTTGTTTATTACGTAATTAACTTATTAAGAACATACTATTTAATTTTATTTCGAATTTTTTTGGCTCATTGATAAATAGGAGATAAAGTAGTTTCTGCGCACTCACAAGTTCGATATGAAGTGATAGAATGCGGAATAATGTATCCCGAACAAGTGCCAACCGGATATCTGTAAATATTTGGCATTGATTTATTCGAATTTCAAGACTCGCATAATGAACGTTAGTAATTAATTGATTAGACATGCAGGACAAGTAGGCTATGTTATATGTAGTATGAAAGTCGCTGCTGAAGCACATGTAGGCGATACGTTTTATCACTTTAAGAGCCCTGTTGAACCTTTACCGGGATTTGAGCCAGCGAAATCTATGGTAATCTTTTTTGTTCATGTGTATGCTCAAAGATCCCATTATTCAATGCTTTAGGTCATAAATATATTATATTATTAGGTATTCGCCGGCATATTCCCAGTGGACACAAACGAGTTTAACAAATTGGATGAATCGATAACTAAACTTACTTTGAATGATGCTAGTGTTTCAGTGCAAAAAGAAACAAGGTACAAATATTTTATCAACAAATTTATTTTCGAATATTAATATCGATATGGTATGGTTAAATGATAATGATCTATCATTAGTGATGCATTGGGACAAGGATGGCGTATTGGATTCTTGGGAACGTTGCATATGGATGTATTTCGGCAACGATTAGAAGAGGTGATCAAAGTTTTTAGATTTGCTCAATATTTATGAGCTTGCTTCAATAATTTTATGACTTGGCTTCAATTTTTCATTATTTTAATATTAATTTTTAGGAATACGAAGCTAATGTTATTGTCACTCAGCCGACTGTACCATATAAAAGTATCTTTGTTGATTCATAATCCAATTGAATAACGCAATTATATTTTGATTGATTAATTTACTTTTCCTAATTCAGTTTTGTTTCGTGATGGAACTTCGAAGCTTATAAGAAATCCTTCAGAATTTCCCGAAGCTCACGACATGGCAAATAAAGTCGTTGGTCTTGAGGAGCCGATGGTTCTAGGAACATTTATTATACCAGAGGTGTGTTCTTATTTTCCAGAATCTCTTTTTGTTTATTTGCTAATTTCCACAAGTCAATTTATGTTTCTTCTAGCAATACTTGGGCGCGATTATGGACTTATGTGGTGTAAGATTTTTAATTTAAAATTTTACTTTTCATTTCATACGACATTATTTATGACATTGTTTATAATATAGTCACGTCGTGGCGAACAAAAAGAGTACAATTACATGGATGAAACACGTGTAATTCTGAAATATGTATTGCCTTTTGCTGAAATTGTTACCAACTTTCATGACGAGTTGAAGTCGCGGTCTAGTGGATATGCAACGTATGTATATCGATATCTTTTATTTATTTATTTATTATGTACTGAGTATATCGAAATCTAAGAGTATGTTTTGTTTTTACTTAATTTAAGGTTCGATTATGAAGAAATGGAATACCAAGCTTCCGATATTGTCAGAGTAATTAAACAAGATTATCAATAGATTATGCTAATATAACTACTTAAAAATTCCGGCTATTATTATCTTATTAGATGAATGTACTAATAAATAAGAAACCGGTGGACGCACTTGCTGCGATACTTCATCGATCGCAAGTAGAGAAAATTGGTCGCGATTGGGCAAAAAAATTAAGCGAGGTTATACCAAAGTATGTGAATTTTTTTCCAGTGATAATTCCGAATGAGCATTGAGAGACTGATGACATGACTTGTTTTTAGACAGTTGTACGAAATTATGATACAGACGGCTGTTGGTGGTAAAATTGTAGCGCGAGAAACGTAGGTTAACATATTTCATACTTTCCATTACACTTGCGTATTTTTTTGATTCAACATTTTATCCTTGATATTCGTTGGTTCACAAACCAGTATTCCGGCGCTACGTAAAAATGTCACGGCAAAATTAGTAAGTAAATTTATTTCTCTGGCTATTTCTCACCTGACATGATTATAAAAAAATGATTTGTGATTTGATATTGTTCGATTTATTTAGTATGGAGGCGATGTGACTCGGAAAATGAAGTTACTCGCCAAACAGCGGGAAGGAAAGAAAAAGATGAAAATGAAGATGATTGGTAATTTTCATCGCCTATGATTCGCGAAAATTCAATTCTATCGTTATATTATTAATGTGGATTATTTTGATTACAGGAAACGTTGAAATTCCACAAAAAGCATTTTACGATTTCATGTCGAAAGGAATCGGAACTGGGTCTTCGAAATAGAAGAAACGTTTTTGTATTCTTTTTTAATTAGAAAATAAAACTTAAAGGTGATTGTTATTTTATCAAAATTTAATAATGTCAATACATTCATTAATTCAAGTCTTGGATAAATTTAATGCAAAAATCATTTTACTTAAAGAATAGAAAAGCTAACGCTAATAATAGTCTGTTAAGATGTTTATTAGATTATCTCCATTTTCTTTAAATGATTTCTTTATAAATATCTCGCTCTTCAAATAAATCCATGTCTAAAAACTTCACCCGGATTGCTCAAATCTGGTACAAAAAGTATCGCCCGATGCAAGATTAAAAATAAAAATTGCATTCATTATTCAATTTATTTGATTTTGTCAATTTATACAAATAATATTTAATATTTAATCGGCCCTCCACTTGACTCCAATACCGCATTAATCCTTCGTGGCATTGATGCAGCAACCCATTATAAAATGGTCACATCAATTTTTTCCAGTATTCGGAAAGATCTCTATTGGGTTCAGGTCTGGAGAATTAGCCGGCCAGTTAATAATCGCGATTTTATTCCTTAATTTTTTCCGCAGTATGAATCGGTGCATTGTCTTGTTGAAAAATTGCGTAACTTCCAGTTAACTCCTTAATTGCGTTCTGGAATGGTAATAAATGGGTTTTTAAGATTTCAAAATAAGAATTTGTAGTTATTTTTCGCCATTTTCTTTATACTCATCACAAAAAATTAATGGTCTTTTTAATTTCCCGCGAAACATCCCCACTTTTAAAGGTGGGAGCCAAGCAATTAACATTAAAATATTCTCCAGGATGCCGCCAAACTCTTGGCTGCCGTGACCGCTTTCTAACTTCAACACTGGTTTCATCAGAGAAAATTATTTTCGCCCAATAATAAGCTGATTTATTTTTATTTTCTTCACACCATTTAATACGAGCATGTGCGTGTGTTTCCGAGATATGGGTTTCTTTGCTGTGATACATGAGTTAAGTCCAGAGTTGTGTAATACATTGCGGCACAAGTGAGGCCTAAATCGTTGACTATTTCGCGTAGTGGTGCGTCTGTTTTCGTTGGCTTCACGTATAAGTAAATCCTTTTCTTGGTTGTTAAGGACTGGTGGTCTTCCTGAACATGGTAAGTTTTCACTTTTTCCTGTTCTTTACATTTGTTAATAAATCGACGTATCGTTGTGGGGTCGCGTCCAAGCATTTTTGCGATTTGATCGGCATTTGTGGTTTCCATGTATGCCAGAATCTTCCCTTTTCAATTTCGTTAAGCTGCGTATAGGTGGACATCATTTTTAACCCAACGAAATTATAGTGTTGGCGAAGTCGTAACAGTAAATAAAGTGATGTTTATTATCAAAAAAAGGAAGAAAAATGGTTATACACGTAAATCGGGCAATACTTTCTGGGGTACTGTACATGTGCAGGGGCGCTGGATACAATAACGTGATCGGGGGAAGAGATTTGGTGTTATTATAACGATAATGAGATGCTATCTTAAAGTGTTACTGTAACGAGCACTCACTATACGTATCTAAAGTCATCAAACGTTTGTATTTTATAAAATGGATAAACTTCTTTACTAAGAAGTAAATATAAAATTTAATCC